CACTGCTGCTGCAGAGCCTCCCGGGTTGCTGCCTTTATGCGGCCTTTCCATTTGTATTCACTTTTGTATCGTTTGCTGCTGCTGCTGCTGTTGCTGCTGCTGCTGCTGCTGCTGCTTCTACTCCTGCTACGACCCTTAGGTTTGCCTTTCTTGCTCCTGTCTCTGCTGCTGCTGTTGCTGCTGTTGCTGCTGCTGCTGCTGCTGCTGCTGCTGCTGCTGGCGATTTCTTTCATCCGAGCACTGCGTTGGTAAGGCGAAGGAAATACAATACGGCGCCCTCCAGTTGCTGCTGCTGCTGCTGCTGCTGCTGCTGTTGCTGCTGCTGTTGTTGGTGCTGCTGCAGCAGCAGCTGCTGCTGCTTCTATATCTGTAGCTTTAACACGTGCTGCGCTCTCTGCTGCTGCTGCTGCTGCTGCTGCTGCTGTTGCTGCTGCTGTTTTTGCTGCAGCATCTATCAACGCCTGCATGCTGTCCCCTAGCTGCTGCTCAGTCCTCCTTCTGCTGCTGCTGCTTCTTCTCCCGCTGCTGCTGCTGCTGCTGCTGCTGCTTTTGCTGCTGCTGCTGCTGCTGAGGTACCGCTTGCTGTATAGACAGCAGCGGCGCCACAGCAGCGGCGCTGCAGCAGCAGCAGCAGCAGCAGCAGCAGCAGCAGCCGGCAGGTGTGGGGCCCCCATGCATGCAGCATTCCTGTGGTTGCTGCTGCTGCAGCACAGGAAGCAGCAACTCCAGCAGCAGCAACTGCAGCCGCAGCAGGAGTAACAGCAACAGCAGCAGCAGCAGCAGCAGCAGCAGCAGCAGGAGACCCCACTGGCGCTCTGCTGCAGCAGCTAAAGCTTAAAAACGAATTCCACTAATAAAATATAACATCTGCAGCACAACACAAAAAGAAAGAAGAAGAACACGGGGGGCCCCCCAAACCACCATGGGGGCCCCCAGCCGGCCTAGGGGGCCCCCAGGGGCCCCCAGAGAAGAATAGTTTGGTTTATGCGTTTATGTTTTATTGTTGTTGAAATTAAAATAATAAAATATATTATATCGTTAAGCTCGTTACTTTATTTGCTGCTGCTGTAGCTGCTGCTGCTGCTGCTTGGATAGCTGTAGCTGCTGCTGCTGCTGCTCTTGTAGCTGGAGCTCCTGCTGCTGCTGCTGCTGCTGCTGCTGCTGCTGCTGCTGCTGCTGCTGCTGGCCAGTGTATGAGTGTATGAGGAGCAGCTGGTTTTGTTCACTGCTCCTGAGGCGGCTTGATAGGACAAGATAGGCTGCACAGGCAGCAGCAGCAGCAGCAGCAGCAGCAGCAGAACAGCAGCAGCTGCAGCAGCAGCAGCAGTATAACCGCAGCAGCAGCAGCAGTATCAGGAGCCTCAGCCTCAGCCGATGGCGAGTGGCGATCCCTCATCCGGCTCATCAGGAGCACCACCACCACCACCACCACCAGCAGCAGCAGCAGCAGGCGAAGC